CTATCTGAATGAGAAACTTCATCAGAAGCCGATCTTTTTGAGAATCCAGTACCGAATTAAATTTTGTGCGACTACAATAATGAAAACATCTGAGCTTTCCAATTTGAAATGATAGAAACCGCATTTTACCAATGGGGTTAAGGATGTGGGTTGACCAACGAAACTGTTCATCTATAGTTACGCCAAGATACTGGACGAGTTCGCCCTGGGTAAAGCTTTTTTATTTATCACCGTGCGGTTTGTCAAAAATGAAGAGCGTAAGAACTATGTGAAAAGTGAACACACTTGCTTGGATTTAGGCTTAATCCCGATTGGGAGAGTAACTGAATTTGAGAAAATTTAACAGTGAATTACCTTGGGTGGGAGGAAGAAGAAATGGGTTGGCACAACACAACATCAGCTGCATATTTCAAAGCGCTTGTTGTAGAAACACAAAGAATATCGTAAATATTGACAAAATATTGAAAATTGGTTCTCGTAGCTCGGGTGAACTGAATTCTATTTCGCCTGTTCGCCGAGCTTGGCAGTTTGTTTGCAAACGTTTCATCACCAGCCGAGGTGACATCATCAGTGCTTGTGAAGTGGCCACTTCACAATTCACCTACCTTGACCTGGGCAGCGTAGCCGTAGCATGTCCACGAGCAAATCGTGGATCTTTTTACTTGTATTAAGGATTCCCGTACCGCGGTTTGTTTGGTACACATTCGAACTCAGATGTTTTTGGAATATAAATTTGTATATAGTTTTCACAATAGAAATGACACCTTTTTTAAGAGTATCAAGCTTAGATTAACCCATTCGATTGTTCAGAGGCACCAGAAATGACATCTGTTCACATTCTTGTCAACAGACAAAACCTAAATACATGTTTAACGAAGTAGCTTGCCATCACAGTGAATGGGAATCCATGTGAGTAGTGGAGGATTTGATAACGCAAATGAAGCTTGAACTGAAAAGTTAGGAAGCACTGGACAGCTGTTTCGACTTGGTTGGGTCTCATCAGCAGTGCGAATCCATCGACCCCACCGTGGATTGAACCCGGGACCTCACAGGCAGAAAGCAAGCATGCTGTCCACTCGGCCACCGGGCAGCTGATCAGACCGTATTCATTTTCATTTTATACGATATAGCACAACCCATCTTTGCGAGCTTGTTGCAGGCCACAGACCTCGCTCCTCTCAGCATTAGCCTCCGGGGTTACGACTTCGTTGAAAACAATCACAACCTGACTCCATAATTCATGTGACTTGATTCAATTTCAAAGTGGAAATTCGTCGTGCATATGACACTTAAGCGTGAACTGAAAAGCTAGGAATCACTGGACAGCTGTTTTGACCTGGTTGGGTCTCATCCCCAGTTGAATCGTTGGATTCGCACTACTGATGAGGCTCAACCAGGTCGAAACACTTGTCCAGTGCTTCCTAGCTTTTCAGTTCACGCTTCATTTGCCATATACAAGACGAATTTCCTCTTTGAAAATGAATGGGAATCTTCAATTATTAATGCAGTCGGTACACAATGTGCATTAATATGATTATGGCAACAATCAATCATAGTTTACGCACGTAACGAGATGCCCTTACAACACCTAATATAGAGTACATCACTGGATGGCTAGAATTTTAGATCGCAGAAACCTTATTCACCACACTGTAATTTTGGCACTTGAATATAGTAAAAGCAACTGATGAATGCTACTTATAAAACGAAATGAAGTTTCCAATTCAACTGTATTCCACACACTCCAGTTTGCATATAAACCCAACAGATCTACGTTGGACGTCGTATCCACTCTAATCCATTATATTAGTAAGTCGTTGAACAATTCGTCCAAGTCTGTCCTTTGTGTTTTTCTTAACTATTCGTCCGCATTTGATTCTGTTTCTCCATCATCCCTTTTTTCAAACTTCTATCTTTTGGTACTCCGAGACAGCTGCTCTCATGGTTTTCTGACTATTTCACAGACAGGGTCCAGTGCACCAAATTGCGAAGGAGAACACCTAAACCTCTTGTCAATAATTCTGGTGTGCTTCAACGTTCTGTTCTATCTCCATATTTGTTTTCCGCTTTATTAGTGATCTTTCTGTCCCACTCCCTGCGCATATCCCAAAGTATGCTGATGACGTCGTTTTGTGTCAGAAAATTTCATCTCCTCCGGAATTCCATCCTTTCACTGAAAATCTATCCCACATCCAACAGTTTTCTAGACAATCTGGTCTCAGTCGTAACACATTCAAGCGCCTAGAGTGCATCTTCAGTTTTTCCCGCTCTTCATTTCCAACGGACTGCGCTCCCCTAACTCCAAACCTGTGTCCATACTGACCTCGGTCAGAGAGAGATCGTATTTTCCAATATCTTCCCACTTTTTGGAAAACCAAAACCAACTATATGCGTAATAAACTAGTTTCTGACCGTGCAATGTAGCCCCCGTCAATATGTCGCAATTGCTGATACCTACTCATGTCGTCATTGACCAATGTTCGGGACGGCCATTGACCAGTCAACCCGCAATTTCGCACTCAACCGATGTTATTTCACCTAGTGTGACGCGAACATGACACTGTTCAACGATTGGATAATCTTTACGAGGAAGACACACCGATGCCAACAATCACAGACTGTCACTTGACTTCAAAATGTGCGATTACCTATCGATCAGAAAGTGTTTGAATGCTGAATTCTATGGTAACTCATAGCTCCATAGGCGAATCACCTGGTATTTCAAGAAAAAACTCTTTACAGTGTTTTATCTCATGGAATCACTATTGGATAATTTGTGAACACTGGAAAGTATCAGGATAGATGTCACCTGAAAACCAACGACTATTTGAAGACAGTAAATGAGGCAACTTTTGCCTGGATCACTGCTATGAGTGTAAACCACGGCGAGTTCCCCACGGTGGAGAGCATCATTTGTAACAAGGCAATTCAGTTAGCACAAAGAATGCATCATCGTGACTTCAAGGCCTTCAAAAGTTGGTTTCGTTCCTGGTTAGACAGATGTGTTATTCAAGCCTACAAAGTAAGAGACAAGCAACTACTAGTGTGCACTACTTCATCGGTTTAAGGTGAAAGCGATATTTTACACTGAAGAAAGGCAGGTAGTTTCGGTTTAACTAAACACATTAAATTGAAAAGGGCTGAATNNATACCGGATGCAGTGTATTAATATTAGGCTGAGGGCATCGTAAAAGATTTCACGGTCTTGGATATATAAAGGACACGCAGGATGGTACATCCAAATCCCGTTATAAATAAATAGTAAATAATAATGAACATTGGGAGCAGGTAACGGAAGTAACGTACTTTGCATCGATCCGGTTTATTTTGTCACAAAACTCCCAACCAATTTTTCATACTACCTAATAGCATCTACTACTGACTGATATGCAATGTCGCAGTTCCTGTAATCTACCCACTTTTTCGAATTCCCGAGGGATGCGACATAGCAAGAGATTGACTGTACCTGGATGTTACTGTCGACAGTAACCTTCGGTGGTCCGTAAACATCTACAATTGTATGGGAAAACTGTGACACCTGTCTTTACAGTTACGCAAACTCAGGTAATTTCGAACCCCACAGTCAGTCCCGTAGTCTTTCCTTTACCAATGAGTTGTACCTATTCTACTCTATTGCTTTCCGGACTTGATTGCTTTCCCGGACCTTTCAAACAACACTTCCAGACCACTGGTTGTGGTTTGATGATAATCAGTCGTGCATCAGTAATTTCAATCGATTCATTAATCACAGTGCTCATTAATGGTCACATCAACTATTGTGTTAAATTTGCCAATAAAATTCTAGACGATCCTCTTCATCAACTGCATCCCGATTGATCATTTTATTGTTCCCATCCATCCACACGCTCATTATTTCGGTATTTACCGTCTCGTATTAACTTTTATAAGAATTCACCTGTGCCTTACCTCGCCCGACCCCTAACCAAAAAAGACAAGGTCGCAAATGAATTATGTCGCAATTTTTGTACAATAAACAGACTTGAGCGACATTCTTCACTTTGCATGTTATATGACACTGTCTACTTTATTCCGCGTTCGACCAATGTACTTTTTAACTGAAATGTAAGCATTTAAGCTAACAGAAGTTATACAAATACAAAATCGTTACTCCGCTCATTCATACGTTATCAATGAAGTGCGAATACTGCAGATATAGTTAAAATTGTAAAGAATGCGTCTTTTTAGGGCAAAGGGTTGAGTTTATTCCGGAAAACTCCCGGCGTAATTAGGTTTGGTGATAATGTTTTGCATCGTATGCTTGTAAAGTTCATGTTTGGAGACCACGTCAAAGGTGGAAATCGTGGAACCAGCTGGCTGCATTGCGTCTATTATCTCGTAGGAAGGTAGCTGACACATTCCGAGACAGGATTCACATCTTAGAAACATAAATCTATTTTCTTCATCCAATGATCATCATCATCTTATCGTGCAGACATCTAGTAAAATCAAGGCTTATCAAAAGCCACAACGAATCTCTCTGATTATCTGAATCTTGCTTTGAAATGTTGAATGATCTAAACACTAAAAGGAAAAATACGTTTTACAACTGCAAAGTTTAATATTGGAAATGTTTTGTTGTTACTGTATGTTGCTTTTGAGTAAATGGACACCTAAATGTTGTGCAACACTGAATGAGAATTCACCAATCAAATCAAGATGTTTGAACAGTTTGTTCTCAAAATACACAAATTTATTTATTTATGTTTGCATCTGCTACTGAGCATAGCAATCTACTTTTTCTATTACTATATGCATAAAAATGTTGCATTACTGCTTGATTAACATCATGTTTTATACTTTCTATTTGACATGAGTATAGGATTGACCAGATAATATTATCAAGACTGCTTGTACGCAATAAATTAAATTTTGACTTGCAAGTCAAATTTTAAAATGTAACAATAGAATAGTACACACAGGAATACCCAACACTCAAAGCCTCTCCGACTGCTTCAGGAAAAACGGCAAATGATCGATTTATGAAAGATCTGGCTCGGGAACTGAAACGGGATAAAGCAAATGTGAGTCTCATCAGTTTGTGGTCCAACGCGGTGCGCACGGAAGAATTTGACACAGCAACTACCGAAACAAACAAAATAATCAAGATGAACGAGTGGCTTCATGTGAACATGGACGAGGGTAAGTCTGCAAGACTGACAGAGTGCATGTTGTACCGATCAAAATCTACTCGGGTAACCGGAGGTATCTCAGCTCTAATTTGGCTTGCACAGTGAAAAATCAGTCCGAACTACCCCCATTGTTATTCTTCTCCAATCGGTCAAAAGAGAGTTTTTATGACAATTTACTGCTTGCCGAACGGAATCGCTCAGTCTAAATCCATCACTTGGACCTTTGTTCGCCCTACAGAAATTGTTCCAAGAGGTCGATTACATTTGATTCATGAATTTATCTATTGATCAAATTTAAGTGGAATATAGCGCATATAATACCCTGCTAATCTCAGTGCTAGTTAAGTTTATCACCTAACGAAATAATCATTCAAGATGCTTTGTTTTGTGATGACGGACAAAGTACACTGAACAGCTGTTTTGACCTGTTTGGGAGTTGTCATCAGTGCGTACTTTTTGTCCCCGTCAAGACTGGAACCACGAATCATGGAGTTTAGAGTCGAAACCCTTCCCCATGAGCGACACGGCCCCGAGTCTATACCTTAAACAAATGGCTCAGTCAACTTCCAGCTTCATATTTGGATTTGAACGAATCCTGAAAAGGTCAAAACAACCGTCCGGTGCTCTTTGTGAGTCCTCAAAAATGTTTCTATTGCATTTAAATGCACTGAACTGATGGTGAAAGTTACATCCAAGGCCGTCTCCAGCGTTCGGTGCCGGTGAACAATCCAGTAGGCTAATCTAAACACGATCCTCTTAAATGTCCAAGATATTATTTTTAACTTCCGCCGTGATTGTGACGATCAAGCGGTATAGGCCTGAACTTATCTCTCTGGAGGATATTTGTTCAAATCCCACCACGGCTGCCGTGCGACGTTTCCTTTCTTTGTGTTCCTAGGCAGCACCTTAACGTCCTTCCTAAAAGTTGTGCGTTTTTGTATTCAGTGAAAGCAAGTAAACGAGATTTTAAAGCTTTAAAGATTCAAAATGAAAGCAGTGTGACACTTGTCGAGGATCGGTATATACTAGTAACTTGTTATGTAATTATTTTGAGGGTTGTATTTCTTTTCTTCGTAGTTTAGAATACGGAGAAGTAGTAGGTGTGTGTGGTAGCGATAACCTGATCTGAAACACTATATACACCGACACATGATGTCCTAGATGTTAGCAAATTCAACAAATATGAGCTAAATTCTGACGGCATGACTTTACAAACAACCGCGGCGGGAAGCTGCAATCTCAGTACGAATTTCTACTGCCCGTGATTGAACACAATGTTAAAAAGTGTACGTGTGTGTGTGGCGATTTATAACTAGACCATCTGATGATTCACTATGACCACCCCTAATCACTCTCAAAAAAGATCGGGGCTTTCGAGCCGTTTGATCCGAGGATTCAATATGACCGTATTCTTTTAATTTATTGAGCAAAATTTTCCGTTCGATGGTGAATGATTGGATTAGCCTATTCAGTTTTTCACAGACACCAGGAACTGTTGATCATGTTCTGTGTGGTTTTCACTCCTTGGGATGCCTGTGAAAAAGCGGATGGGCAAATCCAAACATTTCTCATCTAAATTGATTGAGTCATTCGCACAAGGTGATAACCGTCGACCGTGTAGCTCAAGAGTAAAGGTTTGGAGTCCCGACCCAAATGTTCGCGGTTCGAGTCCTTACAGGGACACAAAAAGTACGCACTGCTGACAAGTCCCAAACAGGACGAAACACCTGTCCAGTGCTCTTTGTCGGTTATGACAAACATTTCTACCTCATTTAAAGTGCTCCTCCTTCATTGAACTATCAGTTGAATCAAATTATCCTTTATTCTAACCAGAGTTCTTTTAAATACACCATGATTGGTAGTAAGAACCGGCCTAGAGATTGGAGTAAAGATGCGCTTATGGGGCCACAACATTTTCTGACTTCTGATCAGAGATTCATTCTTAATATCATCCACATGAGGTAGATAAATTCACGAAATCAACATTTGAAATCCGAATATATAAGCAACGATCAATAGCAGACACGAGTTCAGTGAAGATCTCCATTAATCTCGCTAAACGCATTATTGATCTGTACGGAATGAATGGCCAAATAGCACGCAATATTTGCTAGTCGACTTCCTCATTCTCCAACCATATTCTTTTCCACCCTTGTCCCCGTCCTCTTGCAGCATGTTCACCGGATTTCGTCGGCCAAGTGGTAGTCAAGCTGGCAACCGAGCCGTCCAAAAAGATCATGGCCCGATCTGGAGAGGTGTGCCTCACCTCAGACTTGGCTTTACAATACAATCTAAGTGAAGCCGATGGTCGTGTGCCTGCTCATGCGAGATCATTGCGAAATTTATTAATTTCTGCCGGCTATCCATCGGGAAAATTCATTCCCAGTTTTGTGCTCGCAACTCCAGGATTGTATCATCACATGATCAGTCACCAATAGAATCAGTCACTCATTACCCCTCATGATAAATGTGACTTCGATGTTCAACTTTTAACTGATTCCTCTGTGTTGTAATAATCGTGACTTCATTCTTTTTACTGTAAAACCTGAAATAAACCACTTTGTCCTCGTATTTAAAGAGACAATTTCCGGTAACTTGGAGTTCTATAAAATATATTTGCGTGACGGTAAAATGGATAGATAAGGATAAAGCTCAGGGCCTTGAATGGAGGTTAATACTGAATGGTGTGGCATAGACGATCGGTGTGAGCAAACGCAACTTTTAGTCAGGAATATTCGTTACAAAAAGTGCCTTTTGTCCAAACATGATGGGTAACTCAATTTGATGAATACTCTGGAAGGATTTCAACCGAAAATCAATAAAACTGCTCTGAACAAACCTGCCGGAAGGAAATCAATACAAGGAACGAAAATAAGATGCAAAAAGGTACACAAGCTCGAACGTATTTGAAATCGCATAGGCCAAATCAACTCGTGTTCAAGTGATGCATGCGACGCACAAGGTCCCTCGTCACTGACTGCACAGTTCAGGGGTTAGCATTTCATCGCTCAAACTGAAGAGCTGTGATTCAATCCCCTGCCTGGGATAGGAAAATAATATGCGATTAGGTTCTCAGTCCCAGCTTTCAATGCCGTTGGACTTCTATTAATGAACCCGTACCGAGTAAGACTCAATTAATACAACCATACCGTACACAGGCCTTGGTACCTTTCAATAGTCAAGGGTTAAACCAAAAGCATATCCAACTAAATTGTGGTAACCCTAGCCTACGGGATAACACCAGTCATGGAGCGACACGTTACAGTTTCTGAACAACGAACCACAGGTCAATCGTGCCGACCAATCAGAAGTCGTGCGGTCCAGACGGAGACTGTATGACGTCAAGAATGCAAGCAGACCATTAGTGGATACCCGTACATGTCATTTAATCCCACTGATTTCTTTCAATAATTGAGCGGCTACTTCTGTGGCATTTTACCTGCTTCTCAGTGAAGGGAGATTCTAGCGTACACGTGCTACTGCAAATCAGTGTTTCAGTTTTGTCCGTGATTCGTGCATCGCAATCTATGCTTACTTCGACTACTACAAAAATCAAACGAAATTTCAATTTTTTCTTGGTTGCGCACATTTTTATGTAATGAACATCAGAAGGAGTGGATCCCATTGTCACGAAAACCTGCTGTTTAGTAATGGTAACCGGTAAAATAAGCGCCGGAATCTGAAGTCGTGAATCACATAAGGCCTCACCAAGTCAGGTTTGGTGCTGAACCGGACGGCAGCAAAGCTACCTACCACCAAAGTTGGATTGCGGGGTGGGGCTCAAACCTCGGACTATGGGGTCCACCACATAGTGTGCAATTCATGTGTTCTACTGCGTGATTAAAATTGAACCACAGGAGAATACATTGAAAATAGTAGTGGTAAAGGGATTGTGATGTTGCTAAGTTGTCTTATTAGAGAAGTACTTACTGTTTGA